GCTAAAAGCTAAATTCCAATGTAACTGACACATATGCGTAAGCGAAATAAACACTAAAATTACAAAAACATCTACAACAAACACACAATTGTGTGTGCAACAGCCAGCAGCAGCCGCACTGGTGCTTGCTCGAAAGGAGCAACAACAAATACAAAAGCATGTCAGCGCTATGCTTTCAATTAGGAAGACATTAAAAATAAGCGTAACATCTATTCAAAGCGAAAACGCACACACACGAAAAATGCCGCTATAAATGAAATGAAAAACAAGAAAATGAATGCTAATCCCACAATGCGAAGCGAAATGCCATGCTGACGTGGTCACTCATACGCCCCGCATGGCCCCAAAGGCAAAAGACACACACACGAACACGCACACACTTGTATTCTTGTTTGGTGAAGTGTCAGCAACAGTGTTGTTGTCGCGGTTGCGAGCGCCATTAATGCCCGCCAGCAAACACCAACTCAGCTAGCAACAATGTGTGGGCGAGTGTTGCGCTGACGCCTCCAGCGGCGGAGCTGCCAAGCGGCCGGCGTCGCGCATAATTTATGCGCCGACAAACATAAGCGACAGATTATGCAATAAAAATAGCAAACGTCGAGTTAATAAAATTGATAGCTGCAACATGCAACCATGCGTACAAAAAGTATATTTATATTCTTACATGTTTGTATATACATATGTATGTACATATGTGTGTGTGGATAAATGTGCCGTTAATATTGATGCAATCGATGAAAGCTCAAAAATCACACATTTCTGATTGGATTTCTGCATTGCTATGTTTACGGCTATCGCTTACAATAACAAAACAACGACAACAACAACAGCTAGCGGGCAGCCATGTGCAGCGGAAAAATGCGCTGTGACTCATATATACCTGTCTCTTATACACATCTAGATGTGTATAAGAGACAGGATTGGATTTCTGCATTGCTATGTTTACGGCTATCGCTTACAATAACAAAACAACGACAACAACAACAGCTAGCGGGCAGCCATGTGCAGCGGAAAAATGCGCTGTGACTCATATATACAGACGCGAACAATAAATTCGCCGTTGCCGCAGTACTAGGGCACATGCAAATGTATAAGCAAACTTGCACACATAAACACACACACACATACAAAATACATTCATATTCGATATTTACAAGCAGCAAACCCCCACATCGCATATATATGAAATTATTAACTCGGTCAGACAAGTACTCACATCTCCGTACATATGTTTGTATGTATACATATGTATATGTATATGTGTATGTGTATTTACAGTGTGCTTGCTTTTCGGCATCTAAAGGCATATATATGATATATTTATTGCAGTTTTTGTTGTCGCTCTAATTTTCGTGATTTTTCCGCTTATTGTTGTTAATGTTCGTCTGGTTGTAAAATTTTTCGTGTTTTTGCTTAAACGCTGAATTTCTTTGATTTCTCGTTGTTTTTGTTGTTATTTTGACTTAAATTTTTGTTGCAATTATTATTATTTTTTGTTGTTATTGCTATTATTCTTATTATTATTATTTTTTTTGTTTTTTTTGTTGTTGCTATAATGAATTTAGGCTATAAACTGTGTTGCGGGAGCAGGAAACATATTTTTATTTGCTGTGCTATTTGCTGCCCATCTGCTATTTGTAATACAATGCACAACAATAACAACCATATCGCATACTAATTGAGAAAATTCTTGAATAGGTGGATGATGTTGATGAAACCCTTTAGTTGCTGAAAATCTTATAAGAACAATAAATAAAAATTTGGGGTTCTTATTTTTATATGCGCTACAGATTAGTTGTCCATCTTGAGAATTCATTTTGTTCATTGCTATAATGGCGTGATATATCGACCTCAAGCAAAATTAGCAATTGAAACTATCCGAAGTAGACAATGTTCTCTCATAAGATATAAGAAGTCTCAAATAAATTTCATTAAGCAAAGATTTTGCTGTTTTACTTATAATTCTCTAACCCAAAGTTCTGAAGTCCTTGTCAAATCGATCCATCCATTTTAGGTCATATAAAAACTGGGTGATATCTCTATTCGATAAATAATGATAATGTCCAATTGATCTCTATTGAATATATCTTGCCCAACACCCGGAGCTAAATAAAATATAAACAAATTATTCACAAACTTTTTTAATTGTTCCCATATTTTTACGAACATTACAAACTTCCTAAGTATTTTTTGTAATTTTTTTACAATTTACTTGTTTAAAACAACTACAATTTCGTTTGATTCCCCCTTCATTCAAATAATCGGTAAAAATATCTATCAGTTCAGTTATCCCTTACAAACCCAATAGTGTCAAATTTATCATTGTGATTCTGATCCCTTCAGAAAGTGTTGTTTTTCTTACATACCCGTGCCTCGAGATCCCTTATTTAGTGTTATATATTCTCAATATTCACTTATGGGTTCGAAACCCAGAGAAGACGACACTTACATTAGAGGCTTTCATGGTATTGAAAGCATTATAAAATGGTGAGACTTCTTACCACGATAAGATACCACTGAAGTTGCAAAGTTTAGCCTCGTATGCAAATTAAATTGGTAATAAATCCAATCAGATCTGTAACTGAATATGCTAAATTTAAAGTGACGCGACTTGATAGAGAACTTGAAATACATAGATGCTGCATTCAGCTTCATCTGTGATATATTCTCCCGGCTTATCCTCCAAGTTTTCGATCCATTTGTTTAGACACGAAAAAATTGGCGACAGAACTGAAAGTTGACGAAGAAAAATTAAAAATCTGCGGCCGACAAACAAAACGTGAAAATTTCTGCATGAAACTTACGAAGAATACTACAGAGTCTCAGTGTACATTCCTTTGCGGGATACAATCGGCGAAGATTTGAAGACGCGTTTTTCTACAGAAATATTAGATAAATTTCAATTGAGTTTTCTGCTTTCAGAAAAAGAATGTACTATGAAAACCAAAAAATGGGAAATTTTGTTGAGTCTTTGATAGATAAATTCAAATGACTTTTGGATAATGACAACTTTGCTGCATGAAAACGTGGCTGAGGACGTACAAGCATCAAGATAGATTGATAAGCCTGACGTTGCTGCACATGCATCATGATATTGAAATCACGGCAGAAGAAGTTCGAGAAAGATTCTAGTTCGTTTTGTTTTGTAACATTTTTATATTCAATACAAGATCTGACTACAATATTTTACATTGCAATAAAGTTTGGTCCTCTTACGTCCACGATTTATAATGTGTTTTTTCAGTTTAGTAAGATATGATATAAGAAGATCGTTTTGAATTTTGTCCACCATGATTTTAACTGCATAAAAACTACTATATTTAATATAATAGTTTTCATGTTTCAAGTAAATATTTATAGTAGTATTCTTATTTTCCATAAAAGTTTTTTCACATTATGAATACCACCAAGAAATTACGTTGTGCACAAAATTTGTCAGGTTTTACCCCAACTATTTCTAGTCTCCTTAGCTCAAAGAGTATCTCATTGAAACAAAATGTTAAGATGGATGAAAAGCCCCTGTTTGCGGACAAATTTTATAGTGTTTATGGTATTGATACTGCAAGAGCCACTAACGCATAATTATAGTTTCATCGAGTCCGTTCTAATAATTTTGATGTCAAAGAGGTACCAGCTCTGGAAGGCCACCGGTCGAAAATATCGATAAAATATTGGTAATACTTGAATTAAAGTTAGGGCAAAAGCTTTAATGACGAAATTTCCAACTGTAAATCGCTATTGAGTCGAAACAAATTCGCTTCATTTCCGAAGGGATGACTACTGGTGATGAAAAGTTGGTCACTTACGCAAATGTCAAGCGAAAACTGTGCCGATCGAATCGTAGTGAGCAAATGTAAATGGTGAATTAGCCAGGATTAACACTGATTAACAGCTGAAAGTTTTGCTACATGCTTGGTGGGATTGGGATGGAATCATCTCCTTGAGCTATCTTCTACTGCCCAACTCTCTTAATGAAGCAATTGCCCAGAGATGGTTAGCTGTCACCAATAGGAGAAAAATTTCGTTAAATCAGGACAACGTCAGGTCACGAATGAGATGCTTGGTTAGGAAGTTCTTCTACATCTACCTTAGAGAGCGCATTTGGCCCCATATGATTACTCTTCCTGTTTATAGTGAATGGTTTTGCCGATGAAAAATTCGGCTCAAGGGAAACTTGCGTAATTTGGTTGTCTCAATGGTTTGATAGTCTCCTCTTTTTTCCCCTCCAGGCAGCTTATACAACAGTCGTTAAAAGGCGTTCCTTGTCTAATTGTATGCCTCTTAAGATGGTGATCTGTTTGTACTCCTACTAGAGATTTTTAAATTTTAATAGTCGGCATGTGCGACCCTTATTCCTTTCATGCCAAGTTTGCCTGCTTGTTGCGCAAAATCAGGAATTGATTCCACTTTATAACATAATTGTCGATTAGATATCTGCAAGTAGCCAGAGACATAAAAAATTCGCTCTTTTCTTAGAGTAAGAATATGAGTAAGTAAGTGCATGCCCTTCCGTTTTTGTTTTAGTTTCTCATTTACATCGGTAGAATTTTGAAATTTGTCATCGAACATATTGGTACTGCTAATGTACAGAATTGCCGGATAAAAATGAAACGAATTTCTAAACCTCACGAAATTTATAAATAAAAATCGGCTCCAATAGAACGAAACTAAACCACAACTTTTTAGATTGCTATTTGCTACTGTGGATTAGGAAACTTTGTTTTAAGTGCACTTCATTGCTTATTTGCTTTGAAAATTGCATAAAAGCAACAAGATTTTTATCGCACAAATATTTTCACGCGCCCAAGTGAAGACAAACACGCACACACATTAATTTATCCGGTGAATGCCTTTTGGGATTTTGTCTCTTTAACGCTTCCGCTTCCCGCCAACCGCGCAGCGTCTAGGGTGGCAGCGCGCGCCGAGCTGCCCAAAACGAAAGTGTTACCAAATTAGATTTACGATCGCCAACGCGCCAGTGTATCTCGAATTGCGGCTAACGGCGGCAGCAAGCAATTTAGAGCAACAACGAAGCAACGTGAAAGTGTATAGAAAGTTTTCGTCGTTTTTTTTTCAACTTTTTTCGCTCGGTTATTTCTCAGTGAGTACAAATTTATGTGCAAACATAAAAACAGACAACAATTGCAAGTGCAACAATAGCAACCACATAGCGATAGGGTACTTGCGCATATTGTGAAATTGTGGCGGCGGCAAAACAGACGATTTGACACGATCGAAAAAATATGTTCGCCATAAAAAAGTTGTAAAGAATCGCTCGTGGTCTCTACACTATACTCGGCTACAAAGGCGCGCCGTCCGGCAGGCAGGGGGTCAGCCCGCCAGCTAGCCAGCATGGCGAACGGAAGCTAAGCTATATATTATGTTCCATCATTTGGGTGCTTTGTTTTATTTGCTTCTATGTGTGTCTTATGTGTCTTATGCTATGGGCTGTGTGTTATGCGCATGTAAGTTGTTTACTCATTGCAAAATTTCCAATTATCAGTCGAAATTTTTCTGAAAAGATATTATGTGACAAAAATATGTAGGCAACAAGATCATACAAAATGTACATACATAGATAGATTCAGACAAACACACCTATATATACGAGGGTGGTCCATTAAATTTTCAAACCTCAAAAGAAAAACGAAAATTATAAAAAAGTGAGGATTTATACGATTTTACGAAAATAGTCTCACTTTGCTTGATACACCGAGATTTCCTACAAACCACGTTTGTGGGATAAACAAACAAAGTTTCGAGTCCAATTCGGCTGAAATTTTGTCGCTAATCGTCTACGAATATTTACTACACGATAGTAAGTGTTGCTAGTGAGGTGTTGTGGGTCTTTATCAGATCGCCCTTGTACCCAAATATTTATAAACGTAGATACAATAAGAAAATTTGCTTATATTTCGTTCTCTGCTTCGCTGTTGTTGCTGCGTCCAATGCCTCTCCGCTCGCCATTCATTTTCCTCTTTGCGCTCATCTCTTTTGACTTCAGTTGTTTTTGACTTTATTTAATTGTGTTTTGTTTATATTTTTAGCCGCGATTTTCTTCTCTCCTCTGCTGTGTGTGTGTGTGTGTATACTGGTGGCGCAGATGGCAATTTTGCTGGTCCATCTTCGGCGCCTCATTCTGCTGATGAGCATCGTCTATTTGAGCGGCACGGTGATGCGTCGCCTGCTGAGCGAATCGCGGCACAACTACTTGCAGCACATCAATGGCAAGACGTTCGCCGCCCGGCATTTGCACTTCCAGGCCTGGGCCTATATTTACACCGCCTATGCCTATGTGGTCTTGGTCAACTATGTGAGCGTAAGGCGGCTCACCAATTTGTTGGAATTCTTTCTCACCTGATGAAAACTATACGCTGAGGTTGGTGTGAATTCGAGAGCGATTTCAAAAAGTGAAGTGTTATTTTTATTAGGTTTTGTTGTGATTTTTTATTGTACAATAATATGCAAATTGGTGAAATAATTGGTTAATAAAAATTATCTAAATAACTTGAATATTGATAATAATAAAAATGTCCAATTCCATTGCGAGTTTAAAACTAAGTAAATACCAGCCATATAGCTAAGAAAGTTGTTTCTGTAGAAAAACGTTAGTACGAGAGTACATCCGCGAGTATTGCTTCGTAAAGGTTTAAATGCAAAAATGTCCCTTTTTGTTGACCTAAAACTGAATCTAGAGAATATTTTCAAGGCATTTCTTAGAGACAACTAGTCTGTATAGAGCTGTCCAGCTGCCCTTCTTATAAAAAATATGTATGATATTAATCCTGAAATAAAACTGCTCAATTAAATCTTTCAGATTTTCATTTGCCCGGTCGCTATTTTGGTCTAAGCAAACTTGAAAACACAGCCGCTAGAGTAAAATTCATTGATCGCAACCGGTGTCTTTATATTCCTAAAACCACAAATCTTTTTTTCACAAAATATTTCTCTCGGGCGAACACTTGGTAGTTTCAGTAACACTGAATGATCGGAATCAAGTTCTTGTATGGAAAACATTCACATCTGACATCGTATCGTCACGAAATTGGCATGGATTACTGCTTAAGGTAACAATATAATCTCAAAAAAATTGTTCAGAACGGATTACTATAGCATATAGCTTCCACACAAACTGAACACATAGTTTCTAGCAGAAATGCACCTGTGAAGGCTATTTAGCTTCGGTGCTACCGAATTTAACGTTTTTTCCTTTTTTTTTTTTTTACTTGTTACGTGTTTGATATTCTGATGCCCAATCAGAAGGCAAGATATGCTTTCAAACGTCACTCACTTTAACACGAGATCTCTTAATAGCTCTTTGGAAAACTTTTATCTGAGAATGTACCAAAAAACTACAAATTTGAGAATACCAAGCAAAAATCCTCCAAAGTAAACTTGAGCATATCCCCACTACCAACTATGAAATGTTAATATACCCCAGAGTCTAACATAAATATTGCCAGTTTCTTATGTGGTGTAAGTCTGAGACCGAAAGCGGGCAGCGACCTTACAACGGTACTTGCTTCTCTGCAAAATGTGTGACCAAACTTCAACATCTATTAATAATATATTTGAAAAAGGTGACTACTAATGACCCTAAGATTTTCAAGAATATGTACCTTGAAAGGGCCGGATGATTATTTCCTCTCTAAACATTCGCCTCCAACCGATAGAAATACGTGATTATTTCCATAATGTAAATGTTAGTATCCCCTAAACGGCTTGACGAACGAACAGACATTCTCTCACTACATTCTCGGCCTCGACTGTATGCAACAGCGCCATCTATGTTTGAGGTGTGGCGAATTTAAGGTTTGTGACAATGCTAAAATTCTACGAGATTCTTATTAATGTTGTTCAATTATACATAAACATAAAGTTGTTGCAAGTAGTGAAGCTTACTTAGTAAAATGTTTTTATGAAACATCCAAATAGATACATATATAAAAAATTGTACTCGCACACATAGTATTGAAAATACTAAACACTTATTTGGGGAGGTAGAATTGTGCGATCGGCATTCCGACAAAAAGATAGAACTGAAAAAATCAACGAACTTGAATGGTTTTGTAACTGCGTGGAAGCATATATAGTATGTATATTAGGGTGGTTCAAAACAACGAATATTCGCTTGGTACTCTGAGAAATAAATTATTACAAACTTGAAAAAACGCTCTTCAAGTGTAAGCTCATATGTGTAACGGAACAGTCCTCGATCATACTGATTTCTATTTTTCTCATATTATCAGATAGAAAAATTTAATTTAATTAATATTAAATTAATTTGAAAAATATCTGCTTGCATAGATTTTGTAGGAATTATAGTTTTTAGGAAATTCACTGCTCTACAGAGGTGGTAACTAAGAACCTATTATTCAGAGTAGCAAGCAAAAAAGAATATTACTTTTTTTTTTACCACCCTAATGCATACATAGTATGTATGACGTTGTGGGTATGGGTATCCTTAAGGATACCTATTCGTTCTTCATTTCTAACTGACTTCAATTAGAACTGCATCACCCACTACACAGATGATGTGCACATGGGAAAGCACTCCATGTCGATCTCTCTCTGAGTTCGATGGAGAACAAAATAAACTTTTTATAGACCGAGTTAAAAGAGATAACGGAGGCTTGTTGGGATATTAACAGTATAATCGAAGTATTTTTTTACAGACAGAAAGGCGGGTTACTACTTTAAGTATGGCTCTTGAAGAACCGTTAGGATGGCAAGGGTTAGCTAAGTTATTGTGGACGTCATCCATTGGTAGGCCCAAGAAACGTGTTGTTTCGACGAGGTTGGACCAAAGGTAGAAGGGTGTCAGATGTGTGGTTTTAGTGGAACATACAAAGAAATGGGTATATAAACATAGACGGGCGTTAAATAATCGAATTGGCAAAGAAAGAACATCTCTTGAAATCTGAGACAGGTGTCCACCAACAATTTCTACAGCAAGTAACAACCAGCTTCAGTATAAGATATAGCACACAGAGTAACTCAGCTATATCTTATCAGGAATGAAGTATCTACACAACTGATCAAGTTCACAAATCTTCAAATTAGTTAATATGGGATACTGGCCAATAGTAAGACAATCTGTTCGGTACGAATTCGCTTACAATAGAGAGTGGCGTAGCTGCTTGAAAGAGCTGGCAAGGAAACGTTGAGGTACCTTCGAAGCCATATGTGAAGTCTTCCAGCAATAATCACCTACCAATACTTACATAGGAGTATATGATATAATATTATTAGTAAACAAACGTACAGTAAGACATTCGATTTTAATTAAATTAAATCAAAAATGTGTGCCCATTCTTAACGCAAGCCCTATAATGCCAATTGACAATTATCAAATACTGACAAATTATTTACACACTCCATTTGCTTGGCAAGCCATTTTGCATACAAATTTCAAATTATTAATTAATTATTTGCAAGAACATGAACGACAGCGGCGGTGGGTGAAAAATCCACTCGTTTGGCGAAACGAACGCGCGACCGTCATAAGCCAAATATATTCAGATGATTAATAATTGAAAAAGTGGGCAAAACACACAAAAGGCAACTCATTTATAACAAATACAAGCAAAACTGCTCATATATGTGCACGATATATAATATATATATGTATATATGTATGTATGCATATTATATGTATATACTGACACTCAGCTAAAGGAAGGCATATATGCATATTATATTTTGGTAAAGGGAACTGTGTTTGTGTATTGTGTGCTGATTTATATAGAATAAATATTGAAAATATTTTTGTCTACCAGGTCAGTATGACTTAACTTTTGAAAACATTTTATAATATGGTGAAAGCAAATAAAATCTGTGCGATTCGGCTAGAGGCCACAAGTAAATTCCGATGTGGCATGTCACTTTGAACGAAATATATGACGAATTGTTGTACAAGGAAGTTAATAATGTGTACATATGTCAACGCAAATATACGTATTTACATATATATACATATTTAGATTTTATATGGGTGTAATTATTTGAAAATTTCTAAACAAGTTGAAAAAATTATTTACATTTTAAAAATATTAAAATTTCGTTGTATTAAAAGCTAATTTTTTTTTATTCAAAAACACCACCAAAACACCCTTAACATAATTTCCAACAAGCTCCTGCAGCGATTACCTAACCAAAATTTATATTGAAAAATATTTTCATATTATTTGTACATCGTGGCCAACATTTCCCGTTAGCTGAGGCACACTTGCATATGAATATGCAAATACTCAGTGGCGGCAAAATATTTATTTTCCAATTCAGCTTCCAACGTTCTTAGCATCGACTTTTATTAAGGTGCAAAAAGATATATTAAAGAAAAAATTATAAGCACGCACATTCATACTGCTTATGTAAATACACATATGTATGTGTCTTCAAATATATGTTGAGTGTTGCCAGATCGAGAATTTCATATGTTTCTTTTAATATAACTTTTCAAATCTTATTGACCTTCCACCTCTTCAACTGACAAAAATATTAAAAAAAATGAAGCATATGGTGCTTGAAAATCGTCAGTCAATTGTAAGAGAGATGTCAAGAGTGCTCGACATCTCTTGCGAGGCCCTTCGAATGATTTTGGTGAATATTTTGAGTATGAAATACATTCTGGTTAGACTCGCCCCGATACAGCTAAATTCTTTTCAAAAAGGCTAATGTAAACAGGTCTCTTTAGAGACGCTTGATCCCACATTCATAGAGAGCATTATAAATGCCGATGAGCCATGGGTTTATGAGTTTGACAAAATTTGCTGAAGGTGCTGAGGACCATCTCAAAAAGTGCTTATGAAAAGTGTTTCGAGGAGTGGAAGAATCGTTGGCATAAGTGTTTGCTGGTTTCCGGGTGTTTTTTTTGCAAAATTTCGGATGTTATCTTCGAGCTCGTGGAGCATTCATGGTTAATAGGCAAAAGTCTCTGATTTAGTATGCCCAAACAAGTCAAAATAATCAATCACGTTAAATCGCTTGATCTTGGCGGAGATATGACAGTGTCATTTCTCGAAATTAACGAATCGCCATACTTTGCACGCAATTTTTCCATGCTTAGACGTCATCAAAGTTCGGGAAAAAAATCGGTCAACACCGTGTTATTGATGGTAATGGCATTTTCTGCCTCATTTCGAAAGAAATAAGCCCCGATGATCTCACCCCAATATCGAAATAGCCAATTATTTCCGAAGCCATTAAGCCAGAAATGGTCCTCATCTGAGAAAATAATTTTTCGATGAAAATCGTCCACAGGTTATACTCACACACAGATCCCAATCGGCAAACCCAATGGGTAGAACCAACTCCAACCGTAAATGTCATAATTTTGTCATTGGAGAGGGACACAACTGTCAGAACGACGTTGAACTAACTCGGGTTGGCCTCAGCACTGGCCTTATTGACCGCGATATTTAATAATCTTAGACATTTGCCAAGCGATGTATCAAAACGAAACGTGAC